TATGACAGAATTCCTAGCCACAAATTAATGGGGTATCAAATCACTATATGCTGTCAACAAGTGCTGCGTCAGAGTAAATGGCGTTAAGTCGACATGTTTCCGCGTTGGCACTGGTCTCCGCCAATTCTGCGTTCTGTCACCTATCCTGCTCGTGTTGTACATGGATAGTCAGGCCTAGCCAGGATGACGAGTGCATAAGTGTCGATGTGGAGACGAAAGGATTGCGGTCTGCAGACGACCTCGTTTTGTCAGTATCTTCTGAAAATGATCTCTAGGCGTTCTCTGAAAAATTTTGTATTCGAAGCGACGTGGCTGACATGCGAACAAACGTATCTAAAACGAAAAGCCTGGTGCTTTTTCGTTCTTCTGTGCGTTGTTCTGTTCAGATTAACGGAGAAGCAGTGCAACAGGTGGATAAGTTTAAGTTCAAGTTCAAGATAAGTTCAAGTACCTCGGGGTCATGTTTACTAATGATGGAAAATAAGAGGAAGCGATCGACCGGTGGACTGGAGTAGTCAGACGCATTCTGCATGAACTAGCCAGATTATAGCAGAGCTAAGTTGCGATTAAAGCAGAGCTAAGTCTGTAAAAGCCAAGCTCTCGGTGTTCAAGTCGATCTTCATCCCTATACTCATCTACGGTTATGAGTCGTAGACCATGATTGAAAAACTTCGATCCCAGGCACAAGCAGATGAAACTTTCTGAGAAGAATCGCTTGGCTCATGCGTCTCGGCATGGTCCGGAGTTCAGCCATGCGAGTGTACAGGCGCTCCTCCAGATTTAAAAGTCGCAGCTGCGCTTGTCTGAGCATGTGTTGCGAATGCTTCCCGAAAGAAAGGCGAAACAGCTACTTGCACACATACCGGCCGAAGACCCCAGAGACGGTCAAGATTAACCAGGTGCAAATGTACAGAAGGTGTCTGCTCCAGACTCAGGTTATCTTCTGCTGAATCTCAACGCTGACACAGGATCGTGAAGGCTACAGGGAGTGTTTGGCGGGTCTGCCTCTGCGACCCGAACGGATAAACGCTCATTGAAACTGACTGACTGTCACTTTGAAGAGTGACTGAGCATTGCCTGAAACGTCAACAATAACGAATAAATAAAGGTTACTCTTCGCTTTCAGGACTTTCCTGTCGGGCGACAAAGTTTCGAGGGACGTATCCGGTCTGTTCAGTGGCTAAATGCTTTACATACCACCAGTCAGCGTTGCTAAAACAAAATAAAAAAGTTATCAAAAACCTGCCAAAAAAGAAACAAACCTGTTGTCCAGCAGCAACATCGTGTCACCCTTCTTAAAGCTCAAATCTCCGTCAGCCCTGGATTCGTAAGGATATAAAGCTATCAGAACCACCGAACCTTAAAGAAAAAAGTACACAAAACATGCAATGAAAATAAGCCGGTTGCAGTCACATATGCTGCGTAACATGGCACTAATAGTAACCGAAACAAAATCACAGGTGGAGAAAGATCGTCAACCAAACAACTTAGACATGTTTAAGAAACGACGTTGAAAAATAATACAAATGATACAGTGGTGAACTCCGCCTTTGACGGTTCAAAGCCCGGATGAGACAAGAGGAGAATTAGAAACCGTGGCAAAGACTCCAATAAAACATAACCTGCCATCTCGTATTGCCGTTATCGAACGATGTACCGCTCAGTTGTCATCTGGGTTACTAAGAAACGCGCAGGCTGTCGGGGAGCTGAAGTAAACTATGAAGTGTCGGTGATCAGAATCAGCCTCACGCCTTCTGGCAGCAACGAGCGTAGCAGCAAAGCGAGGGTTACCGGAGATCGACAAGACAAAGATACCAGTCAACAAGGCAACCAGTAACTGTTCTGAACGAAGGAAGAAGACAATGTGTACCATTATAGCACGTCAGAAAAGTTTTCGCAGGAACCATACCGAAGGTAGAAACTCACAGTCGGAAATTGCAATGACTCTTCACTTAAAGGAAAAGAGCAGAAACTAGCTGATAAGACCGAAAGGTACAGAGTAGATACAGTTGGGATATGACTTTCATGAGCAAAGCAATGGAGTTCTGGAATTTTGATCCTCTGCGGGTGAAAGCTATTCTACACAGGCCTCAACTTAACGAGAAGTGTTCAGACCAATGTTACTCTTCCCTTACTATTTCCCCTTTCCCCTCTACCCGAAATGATAATCGGTCATCAACATGACTGACTGTTATAGGGAAACACGTTCACATATTTTCCTGAAAAACAAATCCCATCCAAGAAACAAGCGCAGAGCAAGGAAAAAAGTGGAAGGAAAGGAGACTTGACATTTTCGTTCTGTTATCCATAAAGCCGAAGTGAGTGGTTACCAGGTCGCTCACAAACGGTAACTTGAATTTCTTAAGGGGTGCAAAAACGAGTACGATTTTCAGCGAAAAAAGCAGGAGACTTCATGCTATAACGGTCAGCAGCTATAGACGCCTTAAAGAAACATTTCTGGCTGGTGGCATCATGTTGGAAACAAACGCCATACCGCAAGCTTGATGACAAGAATGCCACAAATGACGAACATTATGAGAGTTACTATATCACGTCTGAAGATGGGAAATCTCTTCGCTCAGAGAGAAATAGCATGAGTTATTTCATGAGGACGAAAGATACTGACTCCATATAGTCCGATTCTGAACCTCTGCGGGAAGAAACTACTCTACTCAGGTGTTTGACTTCACAACACTTGCTCATGGTGGTGTTGTAGCTATAGTAGAACCAAACCTGGCTGATAGAATCAGTGGAAGAGTGCCAGCAGAACAATGATAATTATACGAGTGATATTACAAACTGCTAAAGCTCTGACATTGCTTCAGAAGAACGCGCCCAATATGGAGGGAGAATATGAATCCTTTCTGTAGGAAGCAAAAGGTGTACATCAAAGTACGAGATCCATCATTCTAAAGGACGATTTCAATGTGCATCTCGGAGAAAACACTTAAAAGTTCAGTGGCATTTGAACATCATTATCAGAACGAGATGATACAACTCTCTAATCATATCAAACGCATGACTAATCAATAGCTATTATTACCGTTGCTGTGCTTGTCCTGAAGTGATATCTTTTACGTTTGTTGTAGTGCGATTGCCGTAATGTGAATATCGATGCTGACTTCGCGCAGTGACTCTTAACTAACATGTTGAATTTTCCGTGAATGGTTCACACGCACAACATTTGCTTTAAGAACCGCAGGTACGGCAACCCACTTGATATGAGTGTATTACTCTCGTGACTGACGCTTTTAATAAATTCACTACATAATAAGGGTGAAATTGCCTACAGCAATATGCCAGATCTGGTCAGATGGAATGCAAAAAATGAAAAGAAGTCAAAAA